GATCTTTGTCCAAGCAAGGCACCAGAAATATTCACTGTGTGGGCCATTATTGCCAGGTTATCATTGGTAACCATTCATGTGATAATTGGCAGAGATTTGAGAATAGCAGTCCTCCTAGAAGCTCATCATCGAAGATTGACATCAGAGCAAGCAGTTACTCACTGACTCATCCACAGCAAGGGTGGGACCAGTCGGTGAACTGACTTTGTGATTGAATGTTGGACATTCCATCAGCCCAGTTTACAGATTTTACAAAAGCTTCTCCTGGAAGAGGAGAAGAGGAAAATGGAGAAGAAAAGGTCAAGGTATCACATGGTGCTATTCACAGGCTGGGGGTGGGGAATCCGGTGCACTCACTGCTGTAAATGTGGGAGGACTGAGACTGCAAAGTAACACACAAGATCCTGCAAATAACAACAACTTCTTAATGTAGCACCTTTTAACGTAATATAGTAACTCAGGGCCCTTCACAAGAGCATTACAAGGGATTTAAAGGAGGTCAGTGATGGGGGAGATCTATATGAGGTCCTGACTGTAGAGGTTTATAGCAGAGACCAACATCCATTGGTATAAGTCTTTGGAATATTGGAAGGGAGTACAGCTTACCCAGTACGGTTTAAAGAAAAATTACACGAATATAATGGAACAATGATGAGAGATAATTAACAAAATGTGATGTCGGCTGAGGGGTATATTAACTGGAGCCTGGGGAACACTCCCCTGCCCAATCTTTCCTCCAAATGGTGCCAAGGGGGGACAGCCCCCATTCAGCACTGCCAAGGGACTGTTTTGAGCTTCAATTGGGAGAGGTAGAGTATGTGAAAGGTCCAGGGACAGTCGATTGATCCTGGATACATCTAGCTGATCGCCCGGAGCGACTTATGTTTGTGGGCATCCGGAAACCCGGTGCAATTGGGGAAAAAAAGGGGCTAGTTTTTTTTACTGCCCAGAGCCTGGCCTGCAGTCCTGGTGAGTCTTTCTTCTGTCAGGGTGCAGTGGGAGGTGTGACTGCCGGCACATCTAATCTCGCCCAGCCTGGCAGTGACTTGTGTTCCCTTCCACAGTGCTCCAAGAGCTGTCAGACGGGCAAGCGGAGACGCCAGGTCATCTGCTATGACCGAGATCGAAAGCACCAGGACCCAGAGAAGTGTGACCCGCGTGCCTATCCTCGGGAGTTTGAGGATTGTAACAGCCAGCCTTGCTTCCTGCCCCAAAGTGAGTCAGCGTTGGTGAGATTATCTTGCTGATTTTATATTGACCTCTTGTCACTTTCTGAGGATTGTTCCTGTTCAACTTCCAGACTGTCTGTCTGTTTATTTGTTTGTTTCTCTCTCTCTCTCTCTCTCTCTCTCTCTCCCCCCCCCCCCCCCCCCCCCTCCCCCCCTTATTTCTTTCTTTAACTCCTGCTGTACAGGCCGTGAGTGCTACATTCTCTACCAACCTCCCACCACCAGCTCCCCCAGGCCCCTTGCCCCCCACACCACTGTTCCAGCAATAGCTACATGGGACATGTCCTGCCCTTGGAATAGGCGCTACAGCAATGCTGCCTTTAAGCTACAACAGCAGCCACCAGGGTAGAGAATGTGATTGACAGGACTGGGAGGTTTGGCAGGTGTATCTGAAGTCGAGAGGAGGGGGCATATCAGAGTGAGGGGATATCAAGGGAAGGAGGTGTCCGGGGGGGGGGGGGGGGGGGG